TATGGTTGGCCTTGTTGACCGCTCTCTGTGGTTGGCCTTGTTGACCACTCTCTATGGTTGGCCTTGTTGACCGCTCTCTATAGTTGGCCTTGTTGACTGCTCTCTATGGTTGGCCTTGTTGACCACTCTCTATGGTTGGCCTTGTTGACTGCTCTCTATGGTTGGCCTTGTTGACTGCTCTCTATGGTTGGCCTTGTTGACCCCTCTCTCTGGCTGGCCTTGTTGACTGCTCTTTATGGTTGGCCTTGTTGACCGCTCTCTGTGGTTGGCCTTGTTGACCGCTCTCTGGGCTAGAAGGAGGAGACCATGGATGCTCTACATGTCTGCAAGAAGCCGGGCATAGAAGAAGAGACCTCCTTGTCCCTCACCGATCAGTTTCATGACGTTGGGATGGTCAAAGTCCTTCATACAAACAGCCTCACTGAGGAAGTCCTCCATCTCGCTTCGGGTGCATATGGCAACTGCCGAGAGAAGAGAGAAATTAATGCTTCGATAGCATTAATCCTTGCTCAAGGATTCCTGGGAATGAAACTTGCCATTCAACGACAGACATCAAACTTATTTATTTGAGGATTTATATGGCCACCATTCACTCCTAATGACTCTGGGCAGCTTACAATAACAATATAAATTAAAATAAAAAATAAAAAAAATCTTTACCCAATATAAATAAAAACAATCAAACAAGCCACTTGAAGGGGTCCCAGCCACCTTGGTTTCCCCAGGTGTCAAAGTGGGGGGGGGGTGTCCACTCTAATCTCATTGGGGATGATGTTCGAAAGGGAGGGAGCCACCAGCGAGAAGGCTCTTCTTCTGGGTCCCGCCAGATGTACCTCCTCTTAGGAGAGGAGACTCGCAACACGCACACTTAAGACACTTAACACTGAGGAAAAGGAAAGGGAACCTCTGGGTATATGCAGAGTGGCATTCCTTCAGGATAGTTGTGCTCTCTCAGTTTACTGGGGTTGAGGCAGCTCTAAATCTCCCGCCAAAAAAAAAAGGATATATTTTTTTTTTCTTACGGTTACTTACTCTTCATTGTCTTGACCGCAACTTTAAAGACGGCGCCATCTTGGCTGAGTTGACCCTCCATAACCGAGCCGAATTCTCCTGTCGAGACAGAGAAACCAGAAAAGGCCTCTTTGTGAGGCTTCTCTGAGGAAAATCAAATATGGCTGATCTGCCTGCCATCTTTAGGACGACTCTATGCCACTCACATCATCCCGTGCTGGAATCGGAAAAGGTTTTTTATTATTATGGATAGGGTCTTTTTTTAAAATGAGGATATTATAAGAGAAGAACAGAACCGGAAGGGACCTTGGAGGTCTTCTAGTCCAACCCCCTGCTCAAGCAGGAGACCCTTACAGAATCAGAGAATCCCCCCCTCCTCTCCACAAGCCCCACTTCCTCCTAGCACTGATGATGTGAGCTAGTTGGGTCATGAAACGTCTGCCAGAAAATGGCCGAGCTCAGAGAGCACCAAGGACCCCACAGTCATCTTCCTCCTCCTCCTCCTCCTCCTCCTCCTCCTCCTCCTCCTTCCACCCTGACCATGGGGGAAGCCGGACTTGCTTAACGATTCTGTGGTTCACTCAACAACTTGCAGAAAGCTTGGAAGATGGGGCAAAACCAGTGGTGGGATTCAGCCAGTTTGCACCAGTTCAGCAGAACCGGTAGCTAATTTTTTGTTGCCCAGGCCCAGAATGGACTTCCGGAAGCGGCATCCACACAGAGAACCGGTCGTTGACATATTTGAATCTCACCACTCCTTCCTTCCTTCCTTCCTTCCTTCCTTCCTTCCTTCCTTCCTTCCTTCCTTCCTTCCTGTGGTAGGATTCAGCCAGTTCGCACCACTTTGGCAGAACCGGTAGCTAATTTTTTGTTGCCCAGGCCCAGAACGGACTTCCGGAAGCGGCATCCACACAGAGAACCGGTTGTTCTCATATTTGAATCCCACCACTCCTTCCTTCCTTCCTTCCTTCCTTCCTTCCTTCCTTCCTTCCTTCTTATGGTGGGATTCAGTCACTTCGCATCAGTTCGGCAGAAGCGGTAGCTAATTTTTTGTGGCCCAGGCCCAGAACGGACTTCCGGAAGCAGCATCCACACAGAGAACCGGTTCTTCACCTATTTGAATCCCACCACCGGCAGCAACTCATTTAACAACCGCCTCACATAGCAAGGGAAAATCGGATCCTAATTTGCGTCCTAACTCTGAGCGTGGCTCAGAGAAACCGAAGGCCGATTTTCTCGTCTGTTGGGTGTTTGATTGTCCAAATCCGATCGTCAGTTGCTGTGTTTTCTTTCAGGCACCGTAAGGTTTTGGATTCGCTCGAGACTTTAATTTGATTTTAGGAAGGGTGGGCTTCGTTTAGAGTTCTGGGGATTCAGAAGCCGGGCGGGAAGAATTTCCACTGAAGAAAAAGCAAAGTTATGAAATCCAGCCACGTAGCAGGGGAAAAGGCTGTCATCCAAAGCTCCTCGGGGATTAAATACACCCCCACACATCATTATATGGTTGGGCGGGAAGATGTTTTTTCCCCCAACCCAGACATTATCATGAGCCTGTCCTACTTGAAGGGAAGAAAAAAATGGATAGCTCAGATAAGGAAGGGAGAACAAGCCGGATGCTAACCGCCTTTCCATAGAAAAATGACTGATCTTCACCCAGGCTTGCAAGTAACACGATCACCTACGCCGAGTAGTAAATCAGCCAGATGATTTTACAACAAGGGCTTCCTGTTATCCATTTTGAAGGCGTGGGACGAATCTACCCAGGATCGGCTCCTCATAATTAAAAACATTTAGGGAAAATTGAGAAGCCAGCTATTGGTTCTCTTTTATAGTTTTTTTTTTTTAATTTTATTTTTAAATTTGGCCTTTCTGGCTGAACCTGGAGAACGTGGGGGCTCCAGAAAGGTTGCTGTCCTTTGGAATGGCATTAAACCAAACCATTGGTAAGGCGAAGACGTTGGTGCGCCCATGTACGTAGCTGGTTTAATGTGTTTTCTGATTTATCCGATTGTATTTATAATTGGGATGTGAGCCAGTTGGTTGCAGTGGGTGAAGGCATCCAGGAAGGAACCAGGGAATTCTATTCCTGCTTTAAGATGGGCCCAAAGCCAGCTGGGTGGTTTTGGGCTGGATCTCCTCTCTCAGCTCTGGAAGAAGGCAAGGGCAAAGAGCTTGGGAAAACCGTGCCAAGAAAACTGCAGGGACTTGACTGCTTAGTCGCCAGAGGCCAACAAGGTGCACACAAACACAAACAGGCAAACAAAATTATATATACAGGTAGTCTTTAGCTTGTTTGTTTAGTGACTGTTTGAAGTTACCACTGAAGGAAGGGAAGAAGGGAGGGAGGGAAGGAGGAAGGAAGGGAAGGAAGGAAGAAGGGAAGGGAGGGAGGGAGGAAAGGGAGGAAAGGAAAGGAGAGGGAAGGAAGGACAGGGAGGGTGGGCAGAAGGAAGGGAGGAAGGAAGGAAGGAAAGGGAGAAGAGGAAAGGAGAGGAAGGAAGGAAAGAGGGAGGAGAGGAAAGGAGAGAGAGGAAGGGAGGAAGGAGAGGGAAGAAGGGAAGGAAGGACAGGGAGGGAGGGCAGAAGGAAGGGAGGAAGGAAGGAGAGGAAAGGAGAGAAGGAAGGAAGGGAGGGAGGGAGGAAAGGAAAGAGAGGAAAGGAGAGAAGGAAGGGAGGAAGGGAGGGAGGGAGGAAAGGGAGGAGAGGAAAGGAGAGAAGGAAGGAAGGGAGGAAGGGAGGAAGGAAGCAAGGAAAGGGAGGAGAGGAAAGGAGAAAAGGAAGGGAGGAAGGAAGGAGAGGGAGGGAGGGAGGGAGGAAAGGGAGGAGAGGAAATGAGAGAGAGGAAGGGAGGAAAGAGAGAGAAGAAGGGAAGGAAGGACAGGGAGGGTGGGCAGAAGGAAGGAAGGAAGNGAGAGAAGGAAGGAAGGGAGGAAGGGAGGAAGGAAGCAAGGAAAGGGAGGAGAGGAAAGGAGAAAAGGAAGGGAGGAAGGAAGGAGAGGGAGGGAGGGAGGGAGGAAAGGGAGGAGAGGAAATGAGAGAGAGGAAGGGAGGAAAGAGAGAGAAGAAGGGAAGGAAGGACAGGGAGGGTGGGCAGAAGGAAGGAAGGAAGGAAGAAAGGAAGGAAGGAAGAAAGGAAGGAAGGAAAAAAAGAGGGGGGAGAGAAGGAAGGAAGGAAGAAAGGAAGAAAAGAAAGAAAGAAAGAGGGGGGAGGGAGGGAGGGTAGGAAGGAAATAAGGAAGGAGATCCATTGACAAAAAGCTTCTCTAAATGTTTTCCTCCTTCTGAAATGCTTCCAAACTAATTCCAGCTGTGCTCGAAGGAAACGTCTTGGTTTCCTAAGTGAAGCTGGGAAGGACCGTCTGCCACAGGCCTCTGACCTAAATGAGCAAAACGGCCCTTCATCTTCTTCTATTTTGACCGGCAAGAGAGCCAGGGAGAGAGAGTGCTTAGTAATGGTGTAGTAGATTATTATGGTTGTCTTAGAAACCCGGCATTTGGGGCCAATATATATGTCATTAAGCTATAAAAATGGATTAGGGGCCAACCCACCCCGATGGCTGCCCAGTGCAGGACGTAAGCCCATCCCATCCCATCCCAGAGACTAAAACAATTACCATAGCAAAAGAAACAAATCAAACACGGCCAGCCAATCAGCAGGCTGAAAAAGAAGCCAGTTTCAAGAGACTTCCAACAATCTGAGAAATTCCAGGGACTTGAAATGAATCCTTATGCAATTCTAATAAACTTGCGTACATTCACGCAATTATTTCCATGATGCAATTGGAGGCTTTTCCTGCTAGGATCATTTTGCAAATGTCTGGGTTATTTTTCCCCCCCCCCTCATAAATTTACTGGTCCTGGGCTATGCTGCAAATTCGGAGATCTTAAGAATTAACCCAGTGTTTCTCAACTTGGACTTCAACTCCCAGAATTCCCCAGCCAGGCATGCTGGGAGTTGAAATTCAATAGCTTGCTGGCTGGGGAATTCTGGGAGCTGAAGTCCACACATCATAAACCTCCCTAGCTTTGTTGACCAGAGAATTCTGGGAGCTGAAGTCCACCTCTCTTAAAGTTCACAAGCCTGATGGCTGGGGAATTCTGGGACTTGAAGTCCACACTTCCACACAACTAAGAGAGAACTAAGGAGAAACTTCCTGACAGTGAGAACAATTAACCAGTGGAACAACCTGCCTCCAGAAACGGTGAATGCTTCAACACTGGGAGTTTTTAAGAAGAGACTGGACAGCCATTTGTCCGAAATGGTATAGGGTTTCCTGCCTGAGCAGGGGGTTGGACTAGATGACCTCCAAGGTCCCTTCCAACTTTATTATTATTATTATTATTACAACGAGAAATACTGGGTTAACCAATCAGGAACTTTCCCCAATTCAGGTACTATCGAGGCAAGGTCGTCCACAAGGAGAGGTCAAAACACTTAAGATGGCGGCTTCAAATGGAAGGCACCATCTTGGCCTCACCCCACAAGGCCCTCTAACAAGGTCCAACTAGGGTTAGCTGGGAGCTGCTACCTAAATTGCTGCCTAATTTAATCAGAATCAAATCAAATTTCATTTTCCTGCCCCTTTCTATGTGGTACAGCGCTGCCCTAACCTTGAACCCGTTATTAAGCCATAATTGAGACTGGCCCCAAGAACGTACCTTCGCCAAGGGTCTTGCCCAGGGCCACCCTATGGCGGTCAATCATTACATCCTGAAGCTTCTCCTTCAGTTCTTCACTAATGCCCAGACTGTTCACTGTAGGAAGGAAAGGAGATTCATTTTGCAAAGAAGACCCGACTCAAATCATCTATCCCAGTGGTGGCGAACCTATGGCACACGTGCCAGAGGCGGCACTCGGAGCCCTCTCTGTGGGCACACGCACGTCGCCCCAGCCCCGCCTCCTCCCACGGCCCCCTCACCAGCAGCCCTCCGGAGGAGAGTTGCCCCCGGGCACGGCCCACACAATGCTGCGCAGCCAAGGACAGGGTAGCCGGGAAGCGGGGACAAGACTCTGCCCTTGCACCCCATCGCGTGCAGATGATGCTGCAGGGCATGGGCGGAGGGCGTGGCCACCATGGCACTGCTGGGCTGCCTGGGTGATCTGTGGTGGGCTGTGGAGGAGGTGGGTGGTCCAGTGGGCACAGCGGAGCGGGGACAGGGTGGTGGTGGTTTTGGGGGACTCGGTCTCTAAAAGGTTCGCCATCACTGATCTATCCAGTAGCGTCTAAAGCCGGGCTGTCCAACCTTGGCAACTTTTAAGACTTGTGGACTTCAACTTCCAGAATTCCCCAGCCAGCTATGCTGGCTGGGGAATTCTGGGAGTTGAAGTCCACAGGTTTTTAAGTTGCCAAGGTTGGATACACCTGCCCTAAATCCCGCCAGTAATTAGCAAGGAGAAATATCAGAATTAGGCCTCCTTGAGGTCCAAAACAGAAGTCTCAACCGGGAAGCCAACACAATCCAGCTTTCCCAGCTTAATGTCCTGGAAGTGAGCTGCCGGAAGTGAGGCTGCCAAAATATCAGCTAGCATTGGGGAAGATTGGACTTCTACTGTTGCTGCAAACATCTCCAGATCTGGGTTGAATTGTGTCAAGTTTTCCTGGTTGGGCTGTAAGTGGAAACCTTCTTCTCTAAGTTGGGTTGATCTTCTCCTTCTGAAGGATAAGCGGGCAGATGGTCCTGATTCCACCACAAGAACCTTCTCCTTTGATCTTATGGAATCTGCCTAGCCATTGATGAACTGTTGAGGGTCATATGTACAGAAAGATTATGGACCATATGACTTAAAGAGGTCACCTACATCAGAGTGGTGGGCATGAGCTGCAACTGCTAAAACGGTGGGGAAATGTGAACGCTCCTTATGCACCGATGACGTTACCTAGTTTGGTCACGAAAGGTCTGCAAGAAAACCACCCAGCTCAGCGACACCAAGGACCCCACAGCGAATGCTGCTTGCTGGATCTCCGTGTAAAGTCAGGCCCTAGTACACATTGTGTTTGTGGGGAAGAAGAACTCACATGTAGCTTCGGTGGTCCGGCGGCTGTACGATTTGCGGGCCCGATAGTGAACCACCAGCTCCCCTTGTTCCATGGGCTCAAATGCTTCCCTGAGCAGAAAAAAAACACGACATGGGGTCCTGATGGGTCCCACCACGAGAACCACCCAAAGGATTGATCAAGACTCAAACACAGTGTGGCTTTTCTTGAGGGCCACCTTTTCCTTACCCGTAGCGTGTTTCCTTCTTCCTCATACGTGCCAAGAAGATGATGATGAAGATGGTGGCTGCCACAGCTGTGGCCACCGCGATCACCACGTACCACCAGTGCCAGGAGAAGGCAGGGACAGAGAGTCCTACTGTGAAGAAGAGAAACTATTGTTAGTGAGCGGAACTTTTTCAGCGGGTAAACTTTTCTAGGTAATTATCTAGCCTCTGAAACATTCTGGAAGACCAACCATCATTGGTAGGACCATTAGACGCGCATTGCAAAACTCCATCGGATCAATGGATGGAAGATGTAGTAAACCTAATTGTGGGAAGTTGCCTATCCCAACTTTCCATTTTTTAGTGTCCCTTGGATTCAGAAAAAAAGCTTCTCACCTGACTGAGGAGCTGGTAGTATTTCACCTGCAAGAGAAAAAAAACCATTGAGAACTATGTAGGTGGATGGTATAAATTTAATAAAATGAAATGAAAATGAAATGAAATGAAATGGAGGGATGGATGAGTGATTGGATGGATGGATGGATGGATGGGTGTGGGGGGGTTGGATGGATGATGGATGGGTGGGTAGTTGGANGAGAGAAGGAAGGAAGGGAGGAAGGGAGGAAGGAAGCAAGGAAAGGGAGGAGAGGAAAGGAGAAAAGGAAGGGAGGAAGGAAGGAGAGGGAGGGAGGGAGGGAGGAAAGGGAGGAGAGGAAATGAGAGAGAGGAAGGGAGGAAAGAGAGAGAAGAAGGGAAGGAAGGACAGGGAGGGTGGGCAGAAGGAAGGAAGGAAGAAAGGAAGGAAGGAAGGAAGGAAGGAAGAAAGGAAGGAAGGAAAAAAAGAGGGGGGAGAGAAGGAAGGAAGGAAGAAAGGAAGAAAAGAAAGAAAGAAAGAGGGGGGAGGGAGGGAGGGAGGGAAGAAGGAAATAAGGAAGGAGATCCATTGACAAAACGCTTCTCTAAATGTTTTCTTCCTTCTGAAATGCTTCCAAACTAATTCCAGCTGTGCTGGAAGGAAACGTCTTGGTTTCCTAAGTGAAGCTGGGAAGGACCGTCTGCCACAGGCCTCTGACTTAAATGAGCAAAACGGCCCTTCATCTTCTTCTATTTTGACCCGCAAGAGAGCCAGGGAGAGTGCTTAGTAATGGTGTAGTAGATTATTATGGTTGTCTTAGAAACCCGGCATTTGGGGCCAATATATATGTCATTAAGCTATAAAAATGGATTAGGGGCCAACCCACCCCGATGGCTGCCCAGTGCAGGACGTAAGCCCATCCCATCCCATCCCAGAGACTAAAACAATTACCATAGCAAAAGAAACAAATCAAACACGGCCAGCCAATCAGCAGGCTGAAAAAGAAGCCAGTTTCAAGAGACTTCCAACAATCTGAGAAATTCCAGGGACTTGAAATGAATCCTTATGCAATTCTAATAAACTTGCGTACATTCACGCAATTATTTCCATGATGCAATTGGAGGCTTTTCCTGCTAGGATAATTTTGCAAATGTCTGCGTTATTTCCCCCCCCCTCATAAATTTACTGGTCCTGGGCTATGCTGCAAATTCGGAGATCTTAAGAATTAACCCAGTGTTTCTCAACTTGGACTTCAACTCCCAGAATTCCCCAGCCAGGCATGCTAGGAGTTGAAATTCAATAGCTTGCTGGCTGGGGAATTCTGGGAGCTGAAGTCCACACATCATAAACCTCACTAGCTTTGTTGACCAGAGAATTCTGGGAGCTGAAGTCCACCTCTCTTAAAGTCCACAAGCCTGATGGCTGGGGAATTCTGGGACTTGAAGTCCACACTTCCACACAACTAAGAGAGAACTCAGGAGAAACTTCCTGACAGTTAGAACAATTAACCAGTGGAACAACCTGCCTCCAGAAACGGTGAATGCTCCAACACTGGAAGTTTTTAAGAAGAGACTGGACAGCCATTTCTCCAAAATGGGATAGGGTTTCCTGCCTGAGCAGGGGGTTGGACTAGATGACCTCCAAGGTCCCTTCCAACTTAATTATTATTATTACAACAACGAGAAACACTGGGTTAACCAGTCAGGAACTTTCCCCAATTCAGGTACTATCGAGGCAAGGTCGTCCACAAGGAGAGGTCAAAACACTTAAGATGGCGGCTTCAAATGGAAGGCACCATCTTGGCCTCACCCCACAAGGTCCTCTAACAAGGTCCAACTAGGGTTAGCTGGGAGCTGCTACCTAAATTACTGCCTAATTTAATCAGAATGAAATCAAATTTCATTTTCCTGCCCCTTTCTATGTGGTACAGCGCTGCCCTAACCTTGAACCCGTTATTAAGCCATAATTGAGACTGGCCCCAAGAACGTACCTTCGCCAAGGGTCTTGCCCAGGGCCACCCTATGGCGGTCAATCATTACATCCTGAAGCTTCTCCTTCAGTTCTTCACTAATGCCCAGACTGTTCACTGTAGGAAGGAAAGGAGATTCATTTTGCAAAGAAGACCCGACTCAAATCATCTATCCCAGTGGTGGCGAACCTATGGCACGCGTGCCAGAGGCGGCACTCGGAGCCCTCTCTGTGGGCACACGCACGTCGCCCCAGCCCCGCCTCCTCCCACGGCCCCCTCACCAGCAGCCCTCTGGAGGAGAGTTGCCCCCGGGCACGGCCCACACAATGCTGCGCAGCCAAGGACATGGTAGCCGGGAAGTGGGGACAAGACTCTGCCCTTGCACCCCATCGCGTGCAGATGATGCTGCAGGGCATGGGCGTAGGGCGTGGCCACCATGGCGCTGCTGGGCTGCCTGGGTGATCTGTGGTGGGCTGTGGAGGAGGTGGGTAGTCCAGTGGGCACGGCGGAGCGGGGACAGGGTGGTGGTGGTTTTGGGGGACTCGGTCTCTAAAAGGTTCGCCATCACTGATCTATCCAGTAGCGTCTAAAGCCGGGCTGTCCAACCTTGGCAACTTTTAAGACTTGTGGACTTCAACTTCCAGAATTCCCCAGCCAGCTATGCTGGCTGGGGCATTCTGGGAGTTGAAGTCCACAGGTTTTAAAGTTGCCAAGGTTGGATACACCTGTCCTAAATCCCGCCAGTAATTGGCAAGGAGAAATATCAGAATTAGGCCTCCTTGAGGTCCAAAACAGAAGTCTCAACCGGGAAGCCAACACAATCCAGTTTTCCCAGCTTAATGTCCTGGAAGTGAGCTGCCGGAAGTGAGGCTGCCAAAATATCAGCTAGCATTGGGGAAGATGGGACTTCTACTGTTGCTGCAAACATCTCCAGATCTGGGTTGAATCGTATCAAGGTTTCCTGGTTGGGCTGTAAGTGGAAACCTTCTTCTCTAAGTTGGGTGGATCTTCTTCTTCTGAAGGATAAGCGGGCAGATGGTCCTGATTCCACCACGAGAACCTTCTCCTTTGATCTTATGGAATCTGCCTAGCCATTGATGGACTGTTGAGGGTCATATGTACAGAAAGATTATGGACCATAAGACTTAAAGAGGTCACCTACATCAGAGTGGTGGGCATGAGCTTCAACTGCTAAAACGGTGGGGAAATGTGAATGCTCCTTATGCACCGATGACGTTACCTAGTTTGGTCACAAAAGGTCTACAAGAAAACCACCCAGCTCAGGGACACCAAGGATCCCACAGCAAATGCTGCTTGCTGGATCTCCATATAAAGTCAGGCCCTGATACAAATTGTGTTTGTGGGGAAGAAGAACTCACATGTAGCTTCGGTGGTCCGGCGGCTGTACGATTTGCGGGCCCGATAGTGAACCACCAGCTCCCCTTGTTCCATGTTGGGCTCAAATGCTTCCCTGAGCAGAAAAAAAACACGACATGGGGTCCTGATGGGTCCCACCACGAGAACCACCCAAAGGATTGATCAAGACTTAAACACTGTGTGGCTTTTCTTGAGGGCCACCTTCTTCTTACCCGTAGCGTGTTTCCTTCTTCCTCATACGTGCCAAGAAGATGATGATGAAGATGGTGGCTGCCACAGCAGTGGCCACCGCGATCACCACGTACCACCAGTGCCAGGAGAAGGCAGGGACAGAGAGTCCTACTGTGAGGAAGAGAAACTATTGTTAGTGAACGGAGCTTTTTCAGTGGGTAAACTTTTCTAGGTAATTATCTAGCCTCTGAAACGTTCTGGAAGACAAACCATCATTGGTAGGACCATTAGACAAGCATTGCAAAACTCCATCGGATCAATGGATGGAAGATGTAGTAAACCTAATTGTGGGGAGTTGCCTATCCCAACTTTCCATTTTTAGTGTCCCTTGGATTCAGAAAAAAAGCTTCTCACCTGACTGAGGAGCTGGTAGTATTTCACCTGCAAGAGAGAAAAAAACCATTAAGAACTATGTATGTGGATGGAGGGATGGATGGAGGGATGGGTGATTGGACGCATGGATGCATGGATGAGTGGATGGGTGGGGGGATGAATGGATGGATGTGTAGGTGGATGGGTGGGTGGGTGGATGGAGATAGCTAGCCAGATAGCTAGATAGATACTTGGGCAATAAAACTTCTGCAAGAAAACCATCAAGGTCATAGAGAGCATCAGAACCAGCCTGAAGTTCTCCCAAGGTGAGGGCCCTCCAGGTGGCACATGGTCTCCCATTTCTTACCTGATTCCAAGGGGAAGATCATGATGGCTTTGCTCCAGGGTCCATCTCCAGCACTGGTGTAGGCTGCAATCCGTACGGTTAAGTTCTGTACAGTTGAGTTCAGAGACAAAACTGTCTCGTTGGTCAGTCCCACGTCCACGATCACCTTGGGGGGAGAGAGATAGGCAAGGCCTTCAGTGAGATATTGACCAGGGGATGTGCAACCGGGGGGCAACCAGGTGTTACGAGTCCCAAGGACCCACTAAGCAAGCCAGCTGGGCAAAATCCAAGAGCTGTTTCTTCTTCTTTATCTTCAGGATTTCTTTCCTTAAAAAATGGTGTCACAACTGTTTGGGAGGTTCACGTGTTCCAAAGGTCCCTCTCAGCCTTCTGATTCTATGATTCCCAACCCAAATACGGGAACGGTATGTGATACAGGTGGTCCTCAACTTACGACCACAATGAGAAGCAAGGTGGTTGTGAAGGGACTTGATTTTTACAACCTTTTTGACCTGGTTGTTAAGCAGATCACCGCAATTTGCTAAGTGAGTCGCACAGCTTCCCCCAGTGACTTTGCTTATCAGAAGCCGGTTGGGACCGTCGCAAATGGGGATCATGTGACACCCCCCCCAGGAGTCTGCAAACGTCGTAAATACAGATAATCCTCGACTTACAACAGTTCGTTTAGTGACTGTTCGAAGTTACAACAGCACTTATGACCGTTTTTCACACTTACGACCATTGCAGCATCCCCAGGGTCACGTGATCAAAATTCAGACGCTTGGCGACTGACTCATATTTATGATGGATGCCGTGTCCCCGAGTCCCATGATCCCTTTTTGCGACGGTCGCTAAGCAAATGGTCGTTAGTGGGGTACAATCTGCAAACTTTCAGCTGGGGATTGGAACAGGGCTCGGGAGCCAGGCGGCCTGCAGGTACAGCCTACTCACCTCGGGCGACTCCCCGCTTTGACAAACCAGCTTGTACCCCTGAAGGATCCCGTTGATCTTGCCCCGGGGTTCCCCCCACTGGATGATGGTGCAGCTGCCGTTCTGAATAGTCACAATGTCCTCCGGGGCGGCTGCAGGCACTGCGGGAGAGAGAAGCCATATGTGCACCGTGGCAGGAATAGAATAGAATAGAATAGAATAGAATAGAATAGAATAGAATAGAATAGAATAGAGCTGGAAGGGACCTTGGAGGTCTTCTAGTCCAGCCCCCTGCTCAAGCAGGAGAACCTATCTCAGACAGGTGATTGTCTAGTCCACAGGTAGACAACCTTGGCTCTTTTATGACTCATGGACTTCAACTCCCAGAATTCCTGAGCCAGCCATGCTGAGGGGAAAGGCAGAGGTTTCCATGCTGAGCTATGCTGGCTCAGGAATTCTGGGAGTTGAAGTCCACGAGTCATAAAAGAGCCAAGGTTGCCTACCCCTGGTCTCTTGTAATAAAATAATAATAACTAAAATAAAATATAAAATAAAATAAAATAAAATAAAATAAAATAATAAAATAAAATAAAATAAAATAAAATAAAATAAAATAAAATAAAATAAAATATAAAATAATAAAACAAAACAAAACAAAACAAATAAAATAAATAAATAAATAAAATAAAATAAAATAAAATATAAAATAATAAAACAAAACAAAACAAAACAAATAAAATAAAAATAAATAAAAATAAATAAATAAAATAAAATAATAGTTGTAACTTGAGTCCTCAACACAAGGAGTAAGAGGCCATTTCTGGCTACAGGGTAGACTTCACTTTATGACTGCTGACTTAGTGACCGTTCCAGGTTAGGGTGAGGGTAAAAGAGTCAGGCTCTTGACATCTCAGTCCCCCCCATTCCCTCCCCCGTCTTACCCCCTTCCAAGGTGTCCATGGGCACCCAGTGAGTCCAGGGCGAGTGGCCTTCCGAGCAGTGGCAGGCCACGCGCACGTGGTAGGTGGTGAAGGCTGCGAGGCCGTCCAGCTTGTGACGGAAAGGCGGGACACGGATCTTGCGGTTATACAGCTCGTCGGAAACGGTGCTCAGGTCTTCATCGGAGCGCACAGCCTGGAAGGAGGAGGAGGAGGAGGAGGATAAGCAGGTGAGGAGGGACCCAAGACAAAGAAGATGCGAGGAACAATCCTCACCCTGGATTAAACCCTGATTGTTGGGTTGATGGTGGCCCCGAACAGCAGGGAGATCATTTTGAGTGGGAGAAAGGAAGACAGGATCCTATGGCTCAGCCAAGTTTAACTCAGTGAAAATGGAAATCTATTCAACATTATGATGATGAAATAATGGATTTTTTTCAAAAAGTATTCCAGATCCTTTACAGGTAGTCATCCATTTAGTGACCGTTTGAAGTTATAACAGCTCTGGAAACCGGTCCTCGCGCTTATGACCGTTGCAGCATCTCCACAATCACATGTGCTTAGCAACTGGCATGTACTTATGGCAGTTGCAGTGTCTAGGGGTCACGTGACCCCTTTTGCGACCTTCTCAGCTGGCTTTCCATGAGGGAAGCCAGTTTCACTTAATGACTACTCTGTGATTCACTTAAGAACCACCTTGTTTAGGAGCGGAAATTCCGGTCCTACTTTGGGTTGTAAGTTGAGAATTAGCCGCATTTAGGATGTTTTCGTCTTCATCCGCTCCTTTCTTTTCCTCCCTTTTTCCTATTTTTCTTTTCTTTATCCTTTAAAGCAGGGATCCTGAACCTTGTCAACTTTAAGACTTGTGGACTTCAACTCCCAGAATTCCTCAGCCAGCAAGGCTAGCTGAGGAATTCTGGGAGTTGAAGTCCACAAGTCTTAAAGTTGACAAGGTTGAGGACCCCTGCTTTAAACATTTGAAGCAAATTAACGCGTTCCAATAAACAAAACAAGAAAAGAAGTTGATTCCCCCCCCCCAAGATTCCTTATTTCTTTGGAACTAAGCAACCCATTTTGCTTTTTTCAAAATTCGGGGCCAGTTGAAGTCCAAGTTGAGAAACACTGGGTTAATTCTTAAGATCTCCAAATTTGCATAGCCCAGGACCAGTCTGACAGAGTCCTTTTGCTTATGATGGAAAATAGTAACCCACCACACAACACTTGCATAAGATTAAATACATGTAAACAGCAACACGACTGAAGGTGCTGGACAGAAATTTTTCTTTGTTTTAAAGTGGAAAACAGGACTCCCTACGTTCAATCTGAGTTTTACAAAAAAAATTGCCAAACAGCAAGCCTCTGCAAAACCCTGGTTTTCGCCTAGATTTAGTAGTAGTAATAATAATAATAATAATAATAATAATAATAATAATAATAATAATAATAATAATAATGATGCAGCTGATTGATATCGCTGTACCAGGAGATGCCAGAGTCGAAGAAAAAGAACTGGAAAAAATTACGAAATATCGCGGCCTGGCCATCGAAACTGTGCGATTATGGATGAAACATGTAACCGTGGTACCCATTGTCATCGGGGCACTGGGAACTAGGTCCAAAAACTTTGCAAAACACATCAAGAAACTGCAGCTTCCTGCAATAACTCCAGCAATGCTACAAAAAACTGCGCTACTCGGACCATCTTACATTTTAAGGAGGGACCTGGTGGACACCTAGGATGCTGGCAGCAACCCGTGTCAACCATCAGCGCCAGTCAATTTGAATGTTCAGTTGACTGAGGTTCATGTCTAATGAATAATAATAAACTTGGAAGGGACCTTGGAGGTCATCTAGTCCAACCCCCTGCTCAGGCAGGAAACCCTACACCATTTCAGACAAATGGCTGTCCAGTCTCTTCTTCAAAACTTCCAGTGTTGGAGCATTCACCGCTTCTGGAGGCAGGTTGTTCCACTGGTTAATTGTTCTAACTGTCAGGAAGTTTCTCCTTAGTTCTAGGTTGCTTCTCTCTTTGGTCAGTTTCCATCCGGTGCTGGGAATCCACCGAAGGAGGAGAATTGCAGTGAAGATCGCTGAGCCCTGCCTCATATTTTGCAGGGGTGAGATCTTTTTTTTTTTGTGTGTCCATATTCCTCTTTTTTTTTTTCTGCTGAGATTGCGTTTCTTCCGAGAACAACTTCCAGTAGGGAAGCTTCCACTTCTGTGTGAACGACCTCACGTTGGAAATACCCCTTTTTAACTATCGGTTTTCATTCTTGGCTCTTGAAACCTCTTTCTCATGAATTTCAGTTCCCCATCCTGGGGGTTAGGGGGGGGGGTTGTCACACTTCATTCAGCTGGCAAAGCTGACCGGGGGGGGGGCCTGGCGGCCATCGTGGGATGAGTAAACCGACATCCGGAGGAAACCAATTTTGGCAGGAAACCACTTCTAAAAATAAAACCAGTTCCCTCGCAGGGCAATGCTGACAGGGAGACAGAATACAGGTAGGTCTTTTCTTACCCCCACCATTGAGCCCAGATTTTCTGTCCCTAAGCAAGACGGTTGTTAAGTGAGTTTTGCCCCATTTTACGACCTCTCTTGCCACAGTTGTTCAGGGAATCGCTGCAGTTAGGAGGCCGGTTGTTAAGTGAATCTGGCTTCCCCCGTTGATTTGGCTTGTCCAAAGGTGACGAAAGGGGATCACGTGACCCCAGGACAATACAATACAATACAATATAATAGCAGAGTTGGAAGGGACCTTGGAGGTCATCTAGTCCAACCCCCTGCTCAGGCCATTTCAGACCAATGGCTGTCCAGTCTCTTCTTAAAAACCTCAGGGATGGAGGACCCACAACATCTGGAGGCAATCCCACTGATTAATTGAAGTGGGATTATAGCATGACAGAGTTAGAAGGGACCTTGGAGGTCATCTAGTCCAATCCCTCATTTCAGACCAATGGCTGTCCAGTCTCTTCTTAAAAACCTCAGGGATGGAGGACCCACAACATCTGGAGGCAATCCCACTGACTAATTGAACTGGGATTATAGAATGACAGAGTTAGAAGGGACCTTGGAGGTCATCTAGTCCAACCCCCCTGCTCAGGCAGGAAACCCTATCCCATTTCAGAGCAAGGGTTGTCCAATCTCTTCTTAAAAACGTCCAGTGTTGGAGCATTCACAATTTCTGGAGGCAAGTCGTTCCACTGGTCTACGACACTTAAGACACTGCGACCGTCATGAGTCAGTTGTCAAACCTCCAAATTTGGATCACGTGACCACAGGGATGCTGCAGTCATGCTAAGCGTGGAAAACGTCATAAGTCACTTGTCTCAGAGCCGGTGCAATTTCAAATGGTCACTAAATGAACCGTTGTAAACCGGAACCTGTTTCTGTCTCTGAACAGAACAGAACAGAACGGGGATCGATTCTACCGTAAACCCCTTTTTTGTGCATTGTTGGTTTCACGGGCTGTGGAGTTATACCTGGATGGTGCAGAACTCCTGCGCATAAGCGCCGCTAAAACCGGGCTCCCACGTCACCTCCAAGCTGTGGTCACTGCGATGGACAGCGGATAAGTCACGGGGCTGTCCAGGTAACACTATGGCGAGAAAATAATTAGCAATATTACCCTGCCGATAGAGACCGAGACCACTCACACTACAAAAACAACAGGTTTAGTTCCAGACTTCCACTTCTTAGGGCAGTCAGAAACTTGAATAACAACAACAACCACAACAACAACAATAATAATAATAATAATTTGGAAGGGACCTTGGAGGTCATCTAGTCCAACCCCTTGCTCAGGGAGGGAACCCTATACTATTTAGGACAAATGGCTGTCCAGTCTCTTCTTAAAAACTTCCAGTGTTGGAGCATTCACAACTTCTGGAGGCAGGTCGTTCCACTGGTGAATTGTTCTCACTGTCAGGAATAACAGCTTCAGCCTGCATGCAGGGGTTTCCAACCTGGGCCACTTGATGCCTTGTGGACTTCAACTCCCAGAATTCCCCAGCCCAGCAACGGAGTCCACAAGTCGCCATGTGGCCACGGTTGGAAACCCCTGCAGTAGAGAGGACTGTTCTTGCATCCAGGTTGCAAGTTGAGGACTAGCGGTATTCTTGGATCTGCGGAAATAAAGCATGTCGGAAGAGGAGCGACGTCTCCATCGATGGCACCCCGAATATAGCGAATTGCAGGTTTTTAAAAAAAACATGCACCTGAAATGGTATCTTTTAACTACGTTGGGCAGGTTCCACACACCCCATTTGCGCCAACCGTTTGCACTCGGGCTCTGCGAGACGGATTTACGTAGACATTTTGCTCACCTTTTACTACGGCGGTTCGGGATGTGCTGACTCCCTTGGCATTGTGGGCTTCGCACGAGAAGGAGGCGCTGTGATTCAACCCTAGAAGGAAGCAGCAAACGTCGAGAGAAAAGATGAATTCATTGGGATCAACTTTAATGTCTTAATAGTAACGTTTTATGTATTTATAGCCCAGCTTTAGTTTTTTGTCAATAACACAAGGTGGCACACATACCAAATGTCTTCCTACTCTTATTTTCCCCGCAACAACAACCCTGTGAGGTGGGCTGCGCTGAGACAGAGGGACTGGAACTCACCGGCACCTGGTGATTGCTCAATGTCATCCAGCCAGCTTTCTTGCCTAAGGCAGGACTAGAACTCACCGCTGCCTGGTGATTGCTCAATGTCATCCAGCCAGCTTTCTTGCTTAAGGCAGGACTAGAACTCACCGCCACCTGGTGATTAATCAATGTCATCCAGCCAGCTTTCTTGCCTAAGGCAGGACTAGAACTCACCGCCGCCTGGTGATTACTCAACGTCATCCAGCCAGCTTTCTTGCTTAAGGCAAGACTAGAACTCACTGTCACCTGGCGATTGGCCCAAAGTCACCCAGCCTGAAGTCCATGCAGCCTGAAGTCCATGCATGTTGGCTTCTCAGCTGTCAAGGCTGAGAAGCACTGGTTTAGTGGATGCCCAAAAAGTCTGATGCCCACAGCTACTATCTTAGACAGCGAGCAGAATTTGAATCTGGGGGTGCCTCAAACTTTGATGCTTGGGAACTCTGCATTTTAAGCTTGCTTCGTTGGCCCTTTGGGGAACCAGGATATTTGGAGAAAGGCTGAAGTTTGTTTTGTTTCCTGGGTGATACTCGGTGGTGTCATGGTTGGAGAATCTAAGTCATTTCTCTTTCCCTTCTTCAGCTGTTTTGGAAGAGGGGCAGAGTATAAAGAATAAACAGATTTTTTTGACCACAAAGAAGTGGAAGAAGGGATTCCTGGTTCGAATCCTGCCTCTTTTCGCGCTGGTGGTCTGGGCTGATCTCTTTTGGGAGAAAAGCCGGGGCGATAGAAGTAAACTTGGAAACCTCTTGCCATAGGCTAAATAAATAAAATTTAAAACTTCTTTCCCCAGACAGGAAATGATGGTTAAACCAAGTGAACTCTGCAAAGCAAAGACGCTAATTTGACGAAGTCAAGAGGGAGATTGATAGACCTTCACTAAAAACTGTTTATTTCCCCTTCGTGGGAATCCTTGGTGAGGATACAAAGAGAGAGCTCCATCTGCAGAGAATCTAGCACGGTGGATATTTGGGAAAAAGATCTGAGAGTAATCCCCAGAATTCCCTCGAGGCAGCTCTTCCTTTAATATGAAACAGGAGACACATGTGTGTCAGAACGAAGACGGGATCAAAAAAAAAATAATCAAAACGTACATGTCCTGGACGACGCAACCCAGTTCAGCGCTTTGACGGGAATTGCCTCTTTGGCTAAATACAGAAGGTCCTTGACTTACAACCCATTCGTTTAGTGACTGAAGTTACAAAGGCACTGAAAAAAGTGACTTATGACCAATTTGCACACTTCCAACCATTGCAGTCTCCCCACGGTCACGTGATGAAAATTCAGACGCTTGGCAACTGGCTCATATTTATGACGGTTGTAGTGTCCCGGGGTCATGTGATCCCCTTTTGCAACCATCTGACAAGCAAAGTCAATTGGGGGGGGGAGAGCCAGATTCACTTGTTGGTGTTAGTTGCGAAGTCGTGTCCGACCCATCGTGGACCCCATGGACAACGTTCCTCCAGGCCTTCCTGTCCTCTACCATCTTCTGGAGTCCATTGAAGCTCACGCCTCCTACTTCAGTGACTCCATCCAGCCACCTCCTTCTCTGTCGTCCCCTTCTTCTCTTGCCCTCCATCTTTCCCAGCATCAGGCTCTTCTCCAGTGAGTCCTTCCTTCTCATTAGGTGGCCAAAGAACTTGAGTTTCAACTTCAGGATCTGGCCTTCTAAAGAGCCGTCAGGGTTGATCTCCTCTAGGACTGGCCGGTTGGATCGCCTTGCAGTCCAGGGGACTCGCAGGAGTCTTCTCCAGCTCCAGATTCACTTAACAACTGTCATCCCCAGGAAAATCCGAAAATCCAGGCAGTTCATGAGTATAAAGATTTATTGCAACCTTACGTTCTCTACAAGAATCTGACCTACTAATGCCCAAGCAAATTGGCGGTAGATAAGAGTCAATGGAATTCAAGGTGGGCTGGACTCGGATCTCACGTGGGCGTGAAGGAACTCGTGACTGATGATGTGTTTGACACACACCCCTCCCTCGGGCTTAGCCGGATCCTCTCCTACAACAACTGTGTTATTAACAACTGTAGCAATTCACTTAACAGCTGGCTGGGGAATTCTGGGAGTCGAAGTCCACAAGTTTTAAACTCGCCATGGTTGGACACCCCGGGTTGAGGTTTCCCCACAGCAGCCAGGTTTTTGAATATGCTGTTGTGTGTGTTGGAAACTAGCCCAGATTTAACAATAAGCAGCACCACAATGGATGTTCTTGTCCTGATCGTACCGTTCCTGCGAGGGCTGGGTCAAACCAGTGGGCACTGGCAGCCACCTGGACAAACAGCAGGCAGAGAGGAAATAAGGCAGGGGGGCACATATTTGAGTGCCATGCGCGCTGGGAGAGAACCAAATGCCACAAGGGCTGAAAACAGGAAAGGACTTGTCGGATTAACATGTCTAGTCCATCCACCGTGGGTTATACCACTTTCTGACCACATCATTTCTGCAAAGAATGAGTCAGCCACGGGCAAATATTCCCAGCAGCTGGCAGAAACAGACGTCCAGATGTTCAGAGAAGAGCAACTAAGATGATCAAAGGCCTGGAGACTAAAACATACGAAGAACAGCTGCAGGACTTGGGTTTGGCTAGTCTAAAGAAAAGAAGAAATAGGGGAGACATGATAGCAGCGTTCCAGTATTTGAGGGGCTGCCACAAAGAAGAGGGCATCAACCTATTCTCCAAAGCCCCCAAAAGCAGGACAAGAAGCAACAGATGGGAACTAATCAAGGAGAGAAGCAACCTAGAACTAAAAGAGAAATTTTCTGACAGTTGGAACAATTAACCAGTGGAACAACCTGCCTCCAGAAATAGTGGGTGCTCTAGCACGGGAGGTTTTTTAAGAAGAGGCTAGACAGTCACTTGTCTGAGATGGTATAGGTTCTCCTGCTTGAGCAGGGGGCTGGACTAGAAGACCTCCAAGGTCCCTTCCAGCTCTATTCTAGTCTATACAGGAGATTAAAAAATGTTTATTTTTTTTAATCCTGTCCATTTCCAGTTCTTTGTCCCACTACTTATGGGAGTAGTAGGCAAGAAAAGCCAAATGTACAG